GGGGGTTGGGGGCGGAGCGGCGGAAAGGGTCAGGGCCTGAGAGCCCTGGTCACGCTCCCGCCCCGCCCGCAGGTACAGCCGCATCGTGGGCGGCTGGGATCTGCTGCCGCGAGCGCTGCTGAGCTCGCTGTCGGGGCCCCTGATGTTGTGCGCGCCGGTCAAGGCGATGACGCAGGATACGCAGCAGGTGCATGTGCACATAGGGACCTCGCTGCCAGACAAGAGTCTGAAGACGTTGACCGCCGACGTGGTGCTGCTGACGGCGAGCGGGCCCGCGCTGCAGCGCATGAAATTCTCGCCACCGCTTCCGCGGAAGCTGCAGGAGGCTCTGCGTAGGCTGCACTACGTGCCGGCCACCAAAGTGTTCCTGAGCTTCCGCCGACCCTTCTGGCACGAGGAGCACATCGAGGGCGGCCACTCGAACACCGACCGCCCGTCGCGGATGATATTCTACCCGCCGCCGGGCGAAGGCGCGCTGCTGCTGGCCTCGTACACGTGGTCGGACGCGTCGGCCACCTTTGCAGGCCTGAGTCGGGAAGACACGCTACGCTTGGCGCTCGACGACGTGGCGGCGCTGCACGGGCCGATCGTGTACCGGCTCTGGGACGGCAGCGGCGTCGTCAAGCGCTGGGCTGAGGACCCGCACAGCCAGGGCGGCTTCGTCGTACAGCCGCCATTCTGGCAAGAGGACGAGGACAAGGAGTTCAACTGGGCGGGTCCCTTCGGTCGCCTCTACTTTGCCGGGGAGCACACGGCCTACCCGCATGGCTGGGTGGAGACGGCCGTCAAGTCGGCGCTGCGCGCCGCAGTGCTGATCAACAATCAGGTCCACTGCCAGGAGAGGCGTGTGCGCGCGCCGTAGGCACCTGTGCCCAGCCGGCCCCGTGCAAACCCAAAAAGCGGGAGGCCACCCACCCTCCAGCTCTACACGTGCCTGCTCTGCACACGACCCACCAGAGGACCCAGTATTAAAGTATTTTCGGAAAAAGCCGTGGTCCCGCGCCCTCGCTGGCCCAGTCCTTCCCTAGTTCGTTTGGAGCAGAGCCATCACCTCTTGGTAGAAGGCGGCGTGCCCAGCCAGAAGCCTGAGAAGCTGCCCTGCTTCTGCCAGGGCCCGGGGCTCCACTGCACGAGGACTGTCGCTGCTTTGTACCCCTGACTGGTTAACGGTGATCAGTGCCCTCCTCCCCCACGATCACGACACAGACGGGCCCGATGAAAGTAACAGACAGCCCGGCCGATCGTGGATGAAAGTTTATTTTACTCGCGTAACAAGAGGCTGGTAGGCAGGGTCCCTAGAGTGTCTGAGTTGCTCTGCAGGCTCTCCCGTCCCGGTAACGTTCAGATGTGTCCCCGCCACAGCTACTAGGTGGTGGCCACACCCCAGCACTCCATCCCTCACTCCTACCAAAGCCCCAAACTCAGGCAGTTAACAGAGCGCTGCCGCCACCGCCAGTAACCACCGAGGGACCTCCTCTCACGTCTCATCAGTAGGGTCAGGGTTACTGGGCAGACACCGGCTCTGAGAGGTGTGGGAGGGGACCACAACCACCCCTCCCCATCCAGGTTCAAGG